CTCTGGGGGTCTTTCATTGGAGGTTCCACCGAGATTGGAGACCCTTCCCCCTAGAGACTGACACTGACACCCACCGGGAGGTAAGCTGGCCAGCGCTTAATTTCTGTTCTTTGTTGTCTTGTTCATATGTCTTTTACTTGTTGCTTGTTGCGCAGCGATCGGTAATCGGCTAGGCTAGTCGAGTCTGTAGGCGGCTTGAGAAGGAGCTGACGAGCTCGGACTTCCACCCGCCACCCTGGGAGACGTCTCAGGGATCTGGGGTGCCCGATTTTTCGGGGCCCACAACGAGTCCCAGGGATTCGTGGTTTTGGGGGACCCAGGGGGCTTAAGACCCTCTGTGCCTCCAACTCAGTATCTGGTTTCGGTTTTACGGCCGAAAACGCGCAGCGTGTCTTTGTGCCGGCTGTCTATGTGTTTTGTCTGTTCTGTTTATCTGTCTGATTCTTTATTTCGAAGAAAATATGAAACAATCTTTAACCACCCCCTTAAGGTTATTTTAGATCATTGATGATGTACAGAGTCGAGCTCACAATCAGTTGGTTAAAGGAAAAAAAAACTGTGTCGGACTCCCCGGTAGCCAGCTGACTCTGAGATCAAAGGGAGCCAGCCACCGAAGGAACCTGCTGAGCCTTTCCCCTGCCCAGGCTGCTGGATTAGGAGGCCAATTTCAATTTCAATACTGGTCTTTCTTGGCGTCCAACCTTTATAATTGAAAAATCTAACAACCCCTCCTTCTCCAAAAACCCTGTAGCTCTCTAACCTACTTGAATATGGCTTTTGCAGGTCCTCCTAACCTTGGGGGGGGGGGAACAACGCATCTTCCTGGGAGAAACCGTCTTAGAGGATGATAAAAAAGCCCACTCAGTTGCCAAATAAAATTGAGGAAATTTTTCCCCTAAATCGTCCCTGCTGGGACTTTAACACCTACGTCTTTATCGCCAGTTACTCACAGCGGGTTTCCGCGGGCCTGGGACACTGTCCCAGGAATTTGGCTCAGGTAAGACAGATAACCCAGGGACCAGAGGAAACTCTGACTGCATTTTTGGAGAGGCTAAAGGAAGCCTACCGTATGTATACACCCTTTGATCCTGATAGTAAGGAGCAAAGGGGCAATGTTTCTATTGCTTTCATTTGGCAGTCGGCTCCAGATATTAGGACTAAGTTGCAGAGATTAGATAATTTATAAGATTATAGCCTGCAGGATCTCGTAAAGGAAGCAAAAAAGATCTTTAAAAAGAGAGAAACACCTGAGATTAAAAAAAAAAAAAAAAAAAAAAAGACTTAGAAAGTTGCAGGAGGAAAGAGAGGACAAGTTTAAGAAGGAGCTAAAGGAGGAGAGAGAGAGAAAGAGAGAGAGAGAGAGAGAGAGAGAGAGAGAGGGATCATAGGAACCGGAGAGAATTAAGCAAAATTCTGGCCACTGTAGCTCAGAATAATCATAGTGCAGGAAGTCAGGAAAGAAAGGAAAAAGGAAGGAGGCCCAGGGTAGATCGAGACCAGTGTGCATACTGCAAAGAAAAAGGCCATTGGGTCAAAGATTGCCCTAAGAGACCTAAAAATCAGAGGCATGGGGACGGACCCCAAAGACCAACTCAGCTTCTAGCCCTAGATGAAGACTAGGGCAGTCGGGGCCAGGAGCCCCCTCCCCCAGCCCAGGCTAACCTTAAAAGTCGGGGGGAGGGGCAGCTAGTCACCTTCCTGGTGGACACTGGAGCCCAACATTTAGTTCTCACCGAAACGCACGGGCCATTGAGTACCAAAACAGCTTGGGTACAAGGAGCCACCGGAGAAAAACAATACCGATGGACCACGGAGAGAAAAGTTCATCTCGCATCAGGTAAAGTCTCACATTCCTTTTTGCATGTACTGGACTGTCCATATCCATTACTGGGTCGAGATCTACTGACTAAATTAAAAGCCCAGATCCATTTTGAAGGATCAGGAGCTAAAGTCTCTGGCCCACAAGGGGCTCCACTTCAAATATTAACTTTACAATTGGAAAATAAATATAGACTTTTTAAAAAAGCCTCCTGAACAGCAGGAAGGAATGGACTTATGGTTAAAACAACACCCCCTGGCCTGGGCAGAAACAGGGGGCATTGGCTGGCCATACAACAGCCACCCCTAATAATAACCCTGAACCCAGCCACCTTGTTACCACTGCTGGAGGAACCAGCCTCCCATGACTGTCAGCAGATCCTTGCAGAGATGCATGGAATATGTCCTGATCTGACCGATCAGCCCTTGAAAGATACAGACTACACCTGGTTCACAGACAGCAGCAGCTACTTGCTAAATGGTGAGAGACGGGCAGGGGCTGCAGTGACGAATGCCTCAGAGGTCATATGGGTCACTGCACTCCCCGGAGGCACCTCTGCTCAGCGAGCTGAACCCTTTGCTCTGACTCAGGCTCTCCAGATAGCAGCAGGTAAGAAGCTTAATATGTACACTGATAGCCGGTATGCCTTTGCCACTGCCCATGTCCATGGAGAAATTTATCGGAGAAGGGGCCTTTTAACATCAGAAGGCAAAGAAATCAAAAATAAAAATAAAATCTTGACATTATTAAAGGCCCTGTTCCTTCCTAAAAAATTGAGCATAATGCATTGCCCTGGACATCAAAAGGGGGAAAGCCTGGAGGCAAAAGGAAATCGCCTGGCTGATGAAGCAGCCAAACAAGCAGCCTTAAGCCCCCAACTATTGACTATTAGCATATTGACTGAAAAGAAAATAGCTAAGACTCCAGATTGGGACTATGATGAAACGGATTTGGACATTGTTCAGAAACTAGGTGCAGATTATGACCCCAATCGGCAATGCTGGGTCTACCAAGGAAAGACTATACTGCCTATAAAAATGGCAAAAATGTTAATAGACCACCTCCATAAGCTGACTCATTTGAGTGCCAAAAAGATGAAAACTTTGCTAGATAAACAAGAAATTGGAACTTACCTTCCCAATCGGAATTTATTACTGGAACAAGTAACTGCTAACTGTCTGGCCTGTGCCCAGATCAACCAAGGAAAAACCAAACTGGATCCTGGAACCCGGCTTCGTGGCCATAGGCCTGGTGTCCATTGGGAAATAGACTTTACTGAAGTCAAACCTGAAATGTATGGTTATAAATATTTACTGGTTTTTATAGACACCTTTTCAGGATGGGTAAAAGTGTTTCCTACCAAACATGAGACTGCAAAAATGGTCACCAAGAAACTATTGGAAGAAATCTTTCCCAGATATGGGATGCCACAGGTAATAGGATCAGACAATGGGCCTGCCTTCGTCTCCCAGGTAAGTCAGCTGGTGGCCAGGTTGCTGGGGATAAATTGGAAATTACATTGTGCTTACAGACCCTAGAGTTCAGGACAGGTAGAAAGGATGAATAGAACCATTAAGGAGGCTTTATCCAAATTAACGCTTGAAACTGGCTTTAAAAGCAGGTACCAGATCAAATATGATAATTTTCTTTCTCTCATCAGAAAGCTTGATCATTGCTCTATAACTGTAGGAGTTTTATTCCTGAACCTCAGAAAAACCACTTAACAAACACAAAATTATAAAAAGAGTATTCTTCGTGGAAAGTTGAAAATTTAGAGAGGAATGGAGCTAGGAAGATTTTTGTGTATGACCACTACTGTTAGCCAGCACATCTTACTCAGTGAGCAGTTTTAAACAATCTGCATTATTCAAGAATTCAAGCTTTGTAAGATCCTCAGAATGAGGAGTCTCCCAGTTTCCATCGGTATCCCCAAGAACTCAAAGTCCAGTCCAGTTGCTTCAACATGCAAGAGGCTTTAATGAACAGGAAACATTTGTGCAAAGGGGCCCCTCCAGCAGGTAGACTAGTGAGAAGAAGCCATCTCCTCCCTCCACCCCGCCACACGGCACAGGTGTTTTTAAAGGCAAATACCCCAAGCTTAGGGAGGGGGTGGGACCCTCAGTCCATTGAGTACATGACCCTTTGAGGCTGGTCTCCCTATTAGGGTCAACAGACCTTAGGGCCTCAGGGTGTGCTAATTAATCTTGTCTGGGCAAACCGGAGGTGCAGTTATCTATTTGTTTCTTAAAGACCCCATTCACCACCTGCTGACTCACAAGAAAGGAGGGGCAGTGTAAATTCTTGGAATCTTGTTTTCTCAGGGCCTTGTGAGGGGAAGTTAGCAGATTCCAAGGAACAGATATTGCTAGGGGTTAACTTTCCAGGTTAGTATGTCCTTCATTTAAAGTGGGGCGTTTCTCTAACTTTACTTTTTTGTCTTTCACGCCCTATATCTTATCTCTAGAGAGTAAATTTCTAGTACTCTGATCTACAAAGCACCCCACCCAGAACCCGCACTTTCCCCACCCTGTGTCCTACTGCGCCCACTGCTCCACTGGTCTGGTTGAGCACTGGGACCGAGAGCGGGTCAAATAAACAAAACACCTCCACCTCCGGAAAATTTCTTGGACCTGTTTTGAAAATACTGGACCCATCTATCCCGCTGGAACAACCAGAGTGCCCGCCTGCCTGATGTTTATCCGTCATTACTGAGGCTCTGCCGGGGGAGAGACCTCCTAGAGTGACTGGAACAGACAGAGTTACAGACATGGAGCACCTCTCACAACTCTGTCCCCAGGAACTCCTTTGCAAACACACGGTTCCGGGACTGTCCCCTGCACAAGCAGCTGCGATCTCACAAGCGGCTGCGATCTCAGGACTTCCGCCTTCCGGTCACGAACTAAAGCTTCCGGTTCGTGGCTGTCAGTGTCCCCGGAAGACACACATGGAAAACATGCTTCTAGTTCCACCCGGCCAAACTGACACACGATTTCCGCTTGTGAACCAAGGACGTCAGGCTTCCAGTCACTGACTTGAGCTTCCGGCCTGTCACACAAAATGGTCCCCAGGAAAGGTTGCAACGAAGAGATGCACAACTTGAGTTCCACCCATGAAGTAAACACGACGGAGTGCGCTGCAGCCTGAGTTCCGCTTCCGGCACATTACTTCCGCTTACGGATGGTGCAACATGCGATTCCCTGCCCACCGGGCGGCGATTAAATTGGATCCACTTTCGGCCCAGGAAGGGAATTGATCGCATCGGACATTGCGGGCCCGATAGGAAACGCCTTAAGGGACGGGACTAACAGGTCCAAGTGAACAGGTCAGAAACGGCTGATTCCGACTGCAAAAGAGGCAGCACAGAGCATATTCCCTGTCACTCATCGAGGCGGTAGGTGGGACTTCCGGGTGCGGCGAACAGGGCAGAAACAGAGATCGCAACCCTAGGTTTCCGTGCACCCCTCTGGTTTTCGCTGTTTCCCTGTTTATGCCACGGTTGGCAGCAGGGTTCCTGTTGCCGGGGAAACCGGGTTGGGACTTCCGGCAACATGGTAAATCGGGGCGGGACTTCTGCGTGGGAGCATTGACCAGGAATTAATGACTTAGAGAGGTTCCCAGGGGATGGGCGGTGTCACGGGAGCCGTGATGTCAGAGGAGTTACAGGCGTGGCCTGTAGGGCACACAGCTGTCAATCAAACACCTGTCATTCAGTCATTCATTCACTCATTCATTCAGTCATTCACTCAGCCACTCATTCATTCAATCACTCATTCATTTTGTCATTCATTCATTTATTCAGTCATTAATTCATTTACTCAGTCATTCACTCATTCATTCAGTCATTAATTCAATCATTCATTCATGTAGTCATTCATTCATTGATTCAGTCATTAATTAGTTCATTCAGTCATTCATTCACTCATTCAAAGGTCAGTCATTCATGAAGTAATTCAGTCATTTCAGTCATTCATTCATTAGCTCATTCATTCATTCATACATTCATTCATTTACTCATCCATTCAGTCATTAACTCATTAATTCATTGTACAATCATTCATTCATTCAATCACTTCCTGTGTGTGCTGGATGCGGGACTTGCGGTCCCTGAGGCTAAGGCTCTGACATAGACAGGCAGTAGGAAGGATTTCCTGTTTCCTTTTACCTACACTGTAGCCCATGGTCATCTTGAACCCCGCCGTCTTTTTTGTACACCCAGGGGCAGGAAATAAGTCCCATCATCTCAGAGGAACCGGAATTGGTTGTCTCAAGCCGGAAGTGGACAATTTCTGGTCCCTCCCAGAACGGAAGTGAACCCCCCAGACCGGAAATGTGTGATCCTTTCAACATGGAGCTGGTTCCACTCACCAGGCTGCTGCAGGGGAAGTGGGTGGTGCTGGCGGTCCCAGGAGGCGGGACATCCTGTCCTCCATGGTGACTTCCAGGGGCAGGGCCTGCTCTGGGATTGTCAGCTGTGACTTCCAGGGGTGGGGCCTGCTGTGACTGACAGCACACCACCACCTCCCAGGGACTGCAGTTCGAGGTCGTACCCTCCCACTTCTAGGAGTCCCTGGAGAAGGCGAGATTTCCGGCTCCGCCCGAATATGCCTGGGAGACAGCAAAGCTGAAGGCTCTGGAGGTGGCTTCGTGGCTGCTCAGGGTGAGGACGGCCCCATCCCTTCTGGCCACACCCCTTCCTTTCGAGGCCCCGCCCACAAGCCTGCCCCGCCCTCTGCTCTGCAGGACCTGCACCCTCCTGATGTCATTATTGGAGCTGACACCATTGTGGTGAGTGAGGCCCTGCTCCTTCCGGCCCTGCCTGCCCTGCCCCTCACTGACCCGGCCCCTTGGCGTCTGGCTCCGCCCACTGCAGGCCGTGGATGGCGTCATCCTGGACAAGCCAAAGGACAAGGATGATGCCTACAGGATGCTGCGCAGGTGGGCGGGGCCTGAAGGGGCGGGGCAGACCCACCCAGGGCAGAGTGGGCGGGGCCTCTGCATGGAGCTCCAGCCTCTGCCCACCCCAGCCCTGCCCCTTGCCAACCACGCCCTGTACCGCCTTCCCTGGCCCCGCCCAGGCTGAGTGGCCAGCAGCACAGTGTCATCACCGGTGTGGCCATCTTGAGGCCACTGTGGCGGAGGCAGCTTCAGGAGCCAAGTTCCACATGCCCAGAGGCCCCAGAGGCGGAAGGGGACCCAGAAGCAGAAGTGGAATTGTCACTGTTCCACGAAGAGACCCGTGTGACATTCTCGCGGCTATCGGAGCCACTGCTGTGCGAATACGTGGAGAGCGGGGAGCCTCTGTGAGTGGGTGCGGGGTGGGGTGGGTGGGGCCAGGAAACCTGGAAGTGAGGCCTGAAAAGGAAGAGCTGTCCCCAGCGGGCGTGGGTGTGGCTGAGCATGGCACCTGGTGTGACTTCGTCCCTGCCTTGCACCCAGGGACAAGGCTGGCGCCTACGGGCTTCAGGCACGAGGTGGTGCCCTAGCAGAGCGTGTGGAAGGAGATTTCTTCAATGCCGTGGGGTTTCCACTCAACCGCTGCATTCGTGAACTGGCTGCCATCTTCCCGGATGTGGGACCACACGTCCCTGTCAGCCAGCGTCCGGCCACACCCCAATAATGAGGATTGTAGATGGAGAGTGAGTATGTGAGTGACTGTCTGGGCGGGAATTCTGGTGAGAGAGTGACTGAAGGGGCGGGTCTTCTGGTGAGTTTGTGAAGCAGTGACCCATTTCCCATGATGCCCTTGGTGCATTGTGTTTGATTGACAGAGCAAGGTTCCCTCAAGTGCATCATTTCCCAGTGCTAGGACACAGGACATGGGGTGAGGTGTGTGGAGGCAGGGTTAGGGGACAGGCCCACCGAGGGGAGTACACCTAAACCCGCCCCTGTGGCCCTGCCCCTCCTGATGCCCCGCCCTCACCATCTCCATGGGCCCTGCCCTTGCCCCCACTGGGTCCTGCATGAGCAGCTTCACCATCAGATGCCTGTGATGGACATTTGACATCAGGAGCAGGGTCAGGGGAGGCCCCACCCCCTGCCCGCACTCTGATTTGCATATTCAAGAGCTGCCTGGAGACTCAGAAGACATCAAGTACAGAAACTGCTGGGGTTAATTTGCATGGCCACACCTCCAAATGACCTAACCTGCATGTATTTGCAGGTCAAAGTCCCAAACAGATGGGAATACTTGCATTCATTTGCATAGCAAAAGCATGCAAAGCAGCACAAATTTGCATATTAAAGTGCATTTCCGAAACTGGGGTTTGCTCATTTACATACTCAAATGTGAAGCCCCAATCAGACTTCCAGATTTTCAGGCACTGTGCTTATTTGCATAATCAAAATTACTAGTGCATCCTTTACATAACAGTTTAGTAGCCTCATTTGCATATATAAATGAGTGGCAGGTTTTTGCTGCTCAGCATCAGGCCCCACCCCTTCAGCACTACCCTAGCTCACCTGTCCCCTACCCCAAGGTCACAGTGTCCAAGGTCACAATCAGTGACCCTCTCCAGGCCCTGCCCTCAACCACACCAGGCCCTTCCCCACTTTCTCTCCTAGGGTCCCCGAGGGCAGGGCCGGGGTCTGGGTATTACCTATGGTGCAGACAGGACTTGGTCCAGGCAGTGACATCACAGGAAATTGTGACTGTGAGCAGGGAGTGCCCTCCTTCCCTACCCTCACCATCTCCACGCCCAGCTGGGCATGGCAGGAGTCTCCTACCAAACTCTTTGGTTACCAAGCAGCAATGCTGGGACCAGAGGGCGGTGGCCATGGTGAGCAGGTTATGAGAGTAAAAACCCTGAGGATGATGAGTGTGGCCCCTGTGACATCACAGAGCTCACCCCTCCAGGCCCTTGTAATGTCAGTCACCGCATACCCTGCCCCTCTAGCTGTCAATCACTACAGACCCCTCTTCCTGCCTCTGGGCGATGAGGTCTGCTGAGGGTGTGATCTACAGGCTGACTGGGCGGGGACCTGTCAGCTATCTTTATAAAGGTAGAGGGGCAGGCTGTAAGCCGAGGGCTGGATTTCCTGGCAAGGGAAACCTGGCAGTAGAGACTCAGGTCAATCATCAAGGGTGGGGCATGACTTCTGCTCGCAGATCGCAGCCAAGGCTGACTTGAGCCAAGGCCATCAGGAACTTTTGTAACTGCTGTGGCTGGGACTGCATTTCCCAGCATCCTATGCGGCCGCTTACTGCTTCGCTGCACAGAGACTTCTGGGTTTGGATGTTCATGTCCAGGACTGCATTTCCTAGCATCCTGTGCGGTCGATTCCTGTCTTTATGCCCAGGGATTTCCGGTTTTCATCTGTACCGGCCAGGGACTGTAGTTCCCAACATGCTCTGCGGTGGCTTTCTGTTTTTCAGCAATGAAACTTCCAGTTTGTAGTTTTTGGAGGCCCAGGACTCCATTTCCCAGCATTCTCTGTGGCCACTTCCTGCTTCCCTGCCCAGGGACTTCTTATTTTCATCTTTGGAAGCCAAGGACTATATTTCCCAGCATGATTTGTGTCCGCTTTTCAATGAATGGACTTCCGGTTAAAAACTTTGGGGTCCAGAACTGCACTTCCCAGCATGCTGTGTGGCTGCTTCTTTCTTTTCTCCCCTTGACATTCTCTTCTGGACTTCAAGGCCCCTAACTACAGTTCCCAGCATGTGCTGGGCTTGTTTCGATCTTTTTAGTTCCTAAACTTCTTCTGGTCTCTGAGGCTCCAGGACTCCATTTCCCAGCTTCCTGTGGTGCCGCATCCTGTTTTTCAGTCCTGAAATTCCACCATTTAAAGGCACATAGTAATTTAGAAATATTTGAGAATTAGAACAGTGAATTTAAGTTGTATGAAGTTAGCTTACATTTACATAAAGTTAAGTTGAAATCGAATGTACAGATATATTATTCAGGACTGGGTAAATTGAGAAGGACAAGAGTGTGAAGCTATGTATAACATAGTCAGAGAAAAAAGATATTACAGACAAAGAATAAAAGGCAAACGGTAAATGACTTACAGGTTCTGTTGGCGGCAGAAGCTGGCTAGACTCTTTCTGCCTAGATGGCTGATGTAGCAGAAAGAAGAACCATGGTGGGTAAAGCTAGGCCACATGGTCAAGATGGTGGCTGCCATAAACATATTCCCAACAGCTGAAAGAAATTGTAAAGTTTTGAGATATAATTTTTTCTTGAGCAGATGCTGCCTCAGCCCAGCCCACCATGCTGAGACAGGTTGCAGCTGGGGCAGGCAGGAGAATTTGAGCGTGCCGGGAAGAGAACCGAAACAAGTTTAGGGAAAGAAATTGTTTAGCAGAGATATAAAAAAAAAAACACCTTCCACCTATTTGTTCCCTGGCAGTAATTTGAAAGATCCCATAAAATATCGGGATCTAGAGAGCCGTTACATGGCCAATTTGAATTATTTTCTAGGGGATATCTAGGCTGCTTTTCAGTACAAAGGTAAATAAGTCTGGGTGACTTTACAAGTGGCATTAAGTGAAAGGGTTTTAAATTTTCTATCAGGCATCCCAGTGGAGTGGTGGGGGATATTTCCTTGGTCGGTTTATTCCCCATGGGTGGAGTGAAAGTGACCATGCAGTCTTGGAACTCATCAGCCCAAGAGTGTGGCCACACGATTCACAAGAATGGTAGAGCTTTATTCGAAGCTCGTTAGCCCGAAAACGTTGCCAGGACCAACAGAGGCCGGAAATACTCAGCAGTCTGAGAGCAGAGCCAATATACCACACTGGGCTGTATGTCTTCTACCCATGGAATGTACCTGACATTAAGGAATTGGGTTAAAATGTAAAAGGGTACCTTACCTAATTGAAGCCTGTGTGGGGTGGTATTTCCAGTGAACCGGGGGGGGGGGAGGGGGATGGTGGTGGAACGCTGGTATCTGAAACAAGATCCTGAGTGTTTCTGGCTGGCCGCCCACCAGCAGACAGCTGTCAGTGACCCTCACGTAGAGTCTTCCTGGGTTTCGGCACCAATGTTGTTCTTTTGCTGTGCAGCTAATGCCTAAGAAACACAAACGCGAGACTCAGCGCCCACATGGAGATTGTTGAGGGAAGGGAGAGAAAGAGGGGGTAGCTGGTGGCCAACTGAAAGCAGGAGAGAAAGAGGGGGGTGTGGGGCACTTGCTTTAAAAGGGGAGGCTTGCACATGTGTAACTGAGTCCTCTGGCAGCCAGGTAAACCTTGAGCCTTCAGGTAAAGCTGATGTAGCAATGACATGGCCATGAGGGTCCTGCCCATCATCAGGGTGGGGGGGTGGTCAAATGGCTGCTAGTTCCTAACAATCAGATTACTAAGCAGAGTCACTATTTAGCTACACATGTAGTTAAGTGTAAGCCACTAGTTAGCCACAAACTAACCCACTAGTTAGCCACACATACTAGCTCACTAGTACCCACACACACCATGCCACTTGTTAGCCACATACTTAACTCACTTTTTACCCACACATATGAGGTCACTAGTTAGACAAACACCTAAATCAATAGTCATCCCCACACCTTTGTCACTAGTTAGCCACAAAAACTAAGCCACAAGTCCATCACACAAATAAAGCAGTACTTAGCCCCACACAGTAAGACAGTAGTTAATCATACACCTAAGTTACTATTTAGCTACATGCCTAAGCAGTAATTAACCACATTGCCTAAGTCACTAGTTAGCCACAAAGCTAGGTTACTAGTTAGCCACAGTCTCTATGTCTCTAGTTAGTTACACACAATATATCACTACTTACCCACCCATACTAAGTCACTAGTCAGCCACAAATCTAATTTACTAGCTAGTCACAAACATCAAGAAAATAGTCAGCGACACACACACTGAGATAGTAGTTAGCCATTCACCTATGTATTTCTATGTATTTAGTCAAATACACACCTAAGTCACTAGTTAGCTACCAACACTAGGTCACTAGTTATCCACACACATTAAATCAGTAGTTACACACACACATCCTAAATCTGTCTAAAAGAAAAACAGCTCACACTAAGGTGGTCCCAGGACATGGGAATCAGGCCTTTAATCCCAGCAGCAGGGATTTGGAGATAGGAGTGACATGGGTGGACAGAGAGAGGAAGATAAGGTAGAGGAGACAGAAGAGCATGCAGTGAGATGATTTTGATTGAGAAGTTAGTCTGAGGGATCAAAGCGATAGCAGTCAATCTGAGGAGGCAGTGTGAGGACAGGAACACATCGCTTGTCTGAGAATAGGTAGAGATACCAACTCTAGTAGCCAGATGCTCTGATCTGTGATCCTTCAGTTTTCACCTTCCTCTCCCTGTTAGATTACTGTGAGTTTTTATTATTAAGACCTATTATAACTTGTGCTGGAAGTGATGTTCTCTCTGTGGAGGTGTGATATTTCAAAGTCAATAGAGGTAAAAATTATAAATTATTAAAGTATGTTAACTTTGTTTTTTGAAAATTACATTGGTATCTTTTTAATGTTTTTAATTTGTAAAATTTTTTATTATACTTATCAAACCAGTTCCCTCCAACTTACTCCAACACTCCTTCCCCTCCCAACTTCCCAGGCCCCCAGCCACTCTCTCCTCCCATCCAACCAACACTATACACGTAGGGGGACGCCTTCCAGGAGGGGTCATCTAAATCCTTCAAGTCATTTTAAGTAGACACTAAAATGTCTCTCCTGTCTCAAGGTTAATGGAGTATCCCTCCATGGGGATTTTCCCCCAATGTCCTTTTTGCAACAGGGATACTTCCTAGTCCCACTCTCTGAAAACCGTTAGACTCCACAGGCCTTTTAGCTGAGACCCATGTTCAGGGGTCTGTGTCAGTCCCATGTTGGATTCCCAACTATAAGTCTGGAGCCCATTAGCTCCTTCTTGTTAAGGTCAGTTGTATATATGTGTTTGTGCAGTGTGATCTTGTCCTCCCTCTCTGCATCTGGATTCCAGTGTTTAGTTGTGCATGTATGCTTCTGTTTCCATCAGCTACTAGATGAGGGCTCCATGATGGTGGATAAGTTAGTCATTGATCTCATTGCCAGTGAAGGGAATTTATGGTAGCCTTACACTGTTGCTCAAATTGTTAGTTGGGCTCATTCTTGTAGGGCTCTGTACATTTCTCTAGGTTATATTTCCTCTTCTAACCTATAATG